AGCCGCCTTTCGCGTTCGGCTGCGCCGTCCTCGGCCCCGCGGAGCGGAGCGCCGGGTGCCCGCCGCCCCCGTGTTGGGGGGACTCTCACGTTGTTGTGTCCTGACTAATGCTCTGCGTGAGGTGACGGCGGCAAGTCCAGATAGCCCTCTCTCTGTTCTTCCTCCCTGTTAAACATCAACTTGCAGTTTTGCACACACATGTTGTGGGAACGCTATTTCTTGCTGGTAACAAAGTGTAATGTATGTTGCCACTTGTTACTAAACTTACCGTTCTTTATCATCCATTTGCAGAAAGAACAGTACTACTCTGAGCAACACTCTTCCTTGATTAACAAGGCCTACCAAACCCTCCTGAACCCTTTGAGCCGTGGCCTCTATCTAGTAAGGTGTCCATTACATATTTATTAATACTCTTATAACCACTCACAGGTGGTTGGGGCTGCTGGTGGTAACGTAATGAATCATACCTTTGACTCCATCATTAATGTGCTAATTTGTGTTCCTCTGAACAATAGGATTACCAAGCATTGAAGGGAGACCCAAAACAAGCTTGTCTGATAATTAATCAGCTTTTCCACTATTTTCTGTAACATTTTACTGATTATTACCATCTCATTTGCTGCTCATGTTACACTAATTTGTTTCCTGCATCGCACATTTTGTTTGGCCATGGCTGTTCCTTTGAAATTTTAGTCTGGCCTGTGGCAGCCTTTGTTACTTTTTTTTTTCCTTTGGTTAACTGCTGATGGAGTTAGTTTTAAGACTGATTCTGTTTATGCACATTTCATGGAATAAACCGGAAGTTCATCAGATATGAATCTGAGTGAGCCCTACTAAAAGCCTTAATATTCAAGAAAATAATTCACACTGAAATAGATGTAAGAATGTGTATTTCCAAATTCCCATTTTCTTCACCAGCTGGAGCTGAATGGAGTAGAGCCAGCACAAGAAACAGACTGTGATGCAGACTCAGTGTTTCTCACAGAAATCATGGAAATTAATGAGAAATTAGCAGACCCTAAAAATGAGGATATCCTTAAAGAAATTGAAACTTTAATTAAAGGTAAGTTATGATTTGAGGGTTTTGTATAGAACAAATTTACTCTTATCTTTTATAATATGAGAGTCTCTCTGAAGACTTTTTCAGTGTATTTTTTTTAGTATGTCTAATTTGTATTATTCTTGAATTGACTCATTGTAAGAGCTCCCCCCCTCCAAATCAATGTTGTCTTTACCACTTTATGCCACCTAAACATCAAATCTGGCTTGGGAAAATGTATATAACATTACCTATTCTGATGGCAAAATAGAGAGAGAGATATATATAGACTATAAAAAGGAACTTATTCAAACTTCAGCAGATCAGGGCAAGTAGACTGTTCTAAAAGAAAGAACCACTCAAAATGAAGTTTAATGAAATGCTTGACTGGCCGCATTAAATAATTTCTTGATTTATATAGATACTGTATTTCACCTTCTTCAACTCAGTAACCATTATATTACGTGGTTATTATCCTTATACAAGCAACTCTCTTGTATATATATTGGTGGTGGTACCCAAAACATTGAGTTTACTGGTATATTTTATTCTTTGCAATAACAGTTGTGTGCCAAAAGCAATTAGAATAACTAAAATAAAACCTAAGTAGAATAGAAGAAAATTAACTGTAGCAGGGTAAACTGATACACTAAAAGTAAGTTAGGTTTCTGGGAAGTTAGTGACCAATGATTTGCACTGGAATTGCTGTCTGTAAACCTGTTTAAACCAAGAAATATATCTGTTTGAAATGATAATAAAATTGACAACAAGTTTATGGAAAGCTCTCTTAGCTCCCAAAAGACTATGAGACTAGTAATTGAGTTTCCCACCACAGACAATCAGAATGCAGTGGTATTAAATATACTAAGTATGTAACAAAATGTGAATGAAATAATTTGTTTTACAGTTAAACAAGAAGAACTGACCAAAGACGTGACTGCAGCTTTTGAAAGAGGTAGGTATTTCTATGAAGTATTTAGCTGCCATACATATTAGTTAAAAATACTTAAAAACCCCCCACATTCTCTTATTGGCAAATGCTTCCTGAACTACAGAACAGAAATACTGCAAAAACAAGTGTTACTTTGTTTGGTATTTAGAATAAATACTTCTAACCTGACCTTTCTGCTGATTCAGGAAATTCAGGACCTCACATTAAATTAAAAAAAAAAAAAAATCTCATACAAAAGTTCCATTTAATTCAATCAAAATGATCACTCCACGTGGGAATGCTAATGCTAAGAATTGTTTGTTTCCCAGAATACTGGGAAGGGCAGACTCTTAATCAAACTTGCCACTTATTCTGAGGTTTCAAACTTGAATTTGGGAGATCTTGCACTGCAGACTTGAAACTGTGAACAGAGTAGCGGGTGCTATTCTTTGCAGTGAACATCAAGACAGGAACAATTCTGATACTTACCACTGAAGCTATATGGCAAGGAAAGACCTGATGCTCTATTTAGCCTCAGGTTTTAGGAACATCTTGTGCAATAATCAACATAACTTTATTCCACAACCAGTTGATAGGTAGGAGCTTGAACTATTCCAGACTAGCTTCTTACTCTGGGAAGAAACCTTTATGTTTCTCTCCTGGGTCTTAGAATGCTTTTATTATTAGGTTTAAGTAGTAATATGTTGTAATTGTAAAACATTGCGCACAAAGTAGTGCTGGCTAGGCCCACATGTGAAGAATTGTAACGTTATAATCTGTCACTCTTTGTACTACAAGAGTTAAGGATTGTGTTGCATCTATCCTTGTCAGTAGGTGATAAACCACCTTTCCCCTCCAATTGTTTAATTAAGGAGAAACTGTTTCAGTATCAGGTTTGGAATTGACACTATCCGTATCGGAGTCCTACAAATCTTTTGCATTTTGCAGTGATGCAGTTGGTCTAATTACATACGATTAAAAAACAAAGTTTGTCTTGTCTGTATACCTAAAATTCCCCAGTGGCTACATCAATACTATAGCCACTTTACAGAAAAGTCATTAAAGGGTAGTCATGTCACATTTCTTTTCTAAATTGTACATTTTTACGTGTTTTGTGGAACACCTCAACTGAGGTCTCCAAAACCATCGGAGATGAAAATAATAGGCAACATGGTTTTAATAGCATATGGGTCCTGACAATTTGCAGTTCTTAGTACTGAAATGGGTGCTGTCATTGAAATCTTGAGATTTGTTTTGAAAAGAAAAATTCAGCCATCCCTCTGTAAACTAGTAATGTTTTATTTCATTTCAGATGATCTTCAAGAAGCTAAGAAGCTTCTAGCCAAAATGAAATATTTTGCAAACTTAGAGGATAAACTAAAGAACAAGAAGATGCCTTCCTGATACTGCCTCTGCCATTATCACTTAATGTTATTTTTCAATTAAATAGCTGATTTAGTTACCAAAGTCAGAAAAATGGTGTTTGCTTCCTATGTTTTCATTAAAAGCTTGAATTCTCAGAGAAAAAAGATAAACATAAAAGAAGTCCAGTGCTTACTGTAGCACTTACTAAGTAACAGATGGAAACAGGAAATGCTTACACCCAAGAAAAGTTGAAATAGGTAAAGCAGGACTCCTGTCCTAGCAGTTACACGTATGGAAAGGAGTATCAGAGGGACACACAACACTGTATGTAATTAAGATTTCTTACTTTTTGACTACCAAAATATGAAGAGTTATAAAGTTGAAAGTCCTGGACAAAATGTCGGAGATCAAACAGAAAGCTCATTCAATAGGTCCTTCAAGCTCTCTGTAGTCTGCTTGTGTGTGTTCTGTCAGACCACCTTGAAAAATCTTTAAAGGTGAAATTATTTAATTCCTATAATCTGTCCTCTGCTACTTAGAGCTTTTTGTGATGTTGATCTCTGTCTGCTGGGAACTTGCCTTCAAAACTAGAAGAGGTTTTATACTGTTGCAAAATTTAAAATGTTAAGATGCTAGATTAGAGGGAAAAAAAATAAACCCAAACTCAAATGCCAGAAACTGTTTTATTAGTACCCTTTTAGGAAACAAGTATTTCTAATAAACTTTATTACAAATAACAGTAATTCAGATAGGTGCTGTACAGTTACAGTAACAGGACTACATGAGGAATGTCCTTAAATCTTTCAAAGAAGTTTTTTTAAGTGAAAACCAGCAACTAAATACCCCAATTTACATATAAACCAGAATATCTGAAGTATTGGTTTCTCAGTAAGTCAGTTCTTGTTTGGGTTTTAACACCTCAGAATATTTTATTCGGTAAAGCAGTAAGACATGCTTGACTACCCAAATCTGAAGAAGAGGCTTAGAAATAAAAGACGAACTACTGAATTATCTGAAGAAGTCTGCCGGGGGGAGGAATTCATTGAACACCCTCCTGGTATTTCTCCATCCTTGCAACATCAAGTTGTGTCTAAACATCAAATCTTCTATATATGTTTTTAATTACATTTCAGCAATATATGTTTTAACAGCTTTTCAGAAAGATTAACTTGCTTTTAATTAAACTTCCTCTAAATATACAGGAAGATTTAATAAGCTACCTGTTCATGGTATTACAATGCTAATTTAGAAGACGCTGTTCATAATTCTCATTAAAGTTCTGTTACAGCTCTGAAATTACACAGAATTTTTTTTAAAATTCATCATGGAGTTGTCGTCTTTCATAAAGCTCTGTGTCCTTTTTTTTGGTATTTCTTCCAAAATTAAGCTTGTGAAATTCCTTTTTGATTTCCAGAAAAGACTTGTTTTTTGTCTCAGGAATTACAAGGAAGATGAAAGCAGCAACTAAGGAGCACTCCAGTAAGAACACCAGAAAACAATACTGCTTCAGTCCATTCTGAAAACAACATGTATTTGATTGCAACATATTTCAAGTATAACAGTGGGTTTGGGAAAATAAAAAGCTAACATTGCTGCTCAGATATTTTTATTAAAAGAACGGTCAACCTATCCTTACTTTACATGTAACTTTTTTTTTAATTTTTTTTTTTTAGGTAAGGCTACCAAGTGTTGTGCAATACATTTGGTAGTCTTTTATTAAAAAAAAATAAACTGTTATAATACACACTAAACAATTCACAATGTAATGACAAGTCAGCATTTGCTACTTAGCTGTCACATAATTTAAGATTATATGATTTATCTTTTTTTGAAAGTTTATTAATATTTTTCAATGCTATACATTAAAAAACCCAACTATCTTACTGAGAAGCAGAGTTCAGCCAAGAAGAAAGGACTGTCAAATCAGGGTACTCTGCTGTGTGCTGTTGCTGCCTATTTTGCTCTCAAGAATAAGTGCTAAAACTGAAAATACAAAGCTAGAAATGAAAGCCTGTATTGTTTTTCCCAATAATCCTCCTGATCACAGAACCCTCTGTACGTAAGCTTAGCAGGCTCCCAGAGAAGATGTGAACCACTAGCCTCAGGTACTACTACTTTACTTTGACATAAAAACATAATGCACTATGAAGAAATGTGTTATTTGAATCTCAGTATCGGATTAAGTTTTTCTAGTTTTGATACCTTCTCCATTTTTTTAAAACTGAACATGAAAATTACCCCCATGCATTCCTTTTAATTGTCATTTTTCATGTTTTATTATTTCTTGTTGATATCTAAAAAATATTTTAAGAGGGACTGAATCTAGTTATACTCAGTGGAGATGTAGTGTGCATCCTGTGTTCAAGTGTTACTGTATAAGAAAAAGCAATTTGATGGAAGCTGAGAGAAGATTAAATGAGAGGTGAGGCAATTAAGAAAATGCATTATGCAAACTTACCACTATGAAGGGAAAGA